GTGTTAAAAACGTATAGCTTCTTTACAAACATTGACCAACTCATGTCAGATGCATTTAATATAGTCATCAATCATTAGTACATTATGATTCGCTAAATAACTACCTCTTTTTATCTAAACAGCATACTTCGCTTCATATATCAACAAGGACAGGAGCAAACAAGCTTGATAGATGAACATTTAGTACAGACTACAAGTGCATAGACTATATGAGACAAACATGGCCTCTAGCTGTTCACATATACTGAAGTACTTCCTTTCGATGATTAGTGTATTTGTTTGTCTCATGTTGATAAGAATAAAACCAATAATGGACAACCAAAAGTATTTCAATTTGATCATTTACCAGTTGAAATAATACTTGAAATATTATCATATTTGGATGTATATAACATATTTTATTCATTTTACAATATGAATAATCGGATCAATTTAATGATACTACTATTATTGAATAATAGAACATCACTTGATATTCCATATACTACAAATGAAATTAATTTTTATTGTTCAACAATATTACCTGTGATGCATGATCGAATTCAATCTATAACATTCAAAGGTAAATGCGGTGATGATTATCGCTTTTATTAGCCTCACTTTTGGGATGATCATACTGAGTTTATTTTAGGAAGTAAAAGAAAAAACGTTTTCTTGTTCAACTAGCGAGGGAAACTCCTAGATGTCCAGCGCCAGTGTCAACTAAACTTTGCCCATATGTAGGAGATTGGTAAAAGTCTAACGGGGCGTACAAGACATCATTATTCGCATTCATTTATCTCATCAATTATTGAATGAAATGACTTGAAATTTTCTTTCGTAATTGTACAAGTCAACTTCTGATTAAAGAAAAACTTTAAAGTGCATAGTATGAAACTATAATAACTTATTGAATCTGTTATCTAAACCATCTAAATAATATGAGAAAAATTTAAACTTTTTTAGGTAATCATTAACTATATGTGAAAGAGAGAGTACAGTACTGCTATAAATATCATTTTGAATTTTAACAAAATTTCGTTTGATTTTATTATTCAAGCTTTCGACAACGTACTGTTGTCACCGTCAGCAAAACAAAATGACATATATTAAAATCATACATTTAAACTTACAAAAATAGAGAGAGAGGTAAAGAATAGAAAAATATGTTTATACCGTATAATTCTAGCACATTAATGTTCTTAACTCATATTGAATACATTTATTTATTTATTTATTTATTGAAACACATTTTCCTATGCTTTATCTCTCTCTCTATTTTTGTAAGTTTAAATGTATGATTTTAACTTATTTATAGCAGTACTGTACTCTCTCTTTCACGTTGTTATAAAAACTGCCCTTCCAAAGTCACCATCAACTATATATCTCAATGTACCTCATGTTGCCAACTTGATTCTTATATATGAATGTAGACAATTGAATTCTCTACAAAATCGTACTAAAACTAAAATTGGATATCATTTTGAATATTTAAAATGTTGTTGACAATATCTAAAACTGTTATGCAAAAATAGCTGAGGAAAAAGCCCTTTCATGCCAATTTCTGGCATTGCCACCAATATTTCTAATATTAAAGAATGATGTTTAATGATCGATAGATTGTTTAGATGTTTTAGGTAACAGATTCAATAAGTTATTATAGTTTCAAGCTATTCATTTGAAAATTTTTGTCTAATTAGAAGTTGACTTGTACAATTACTCAAGAAAATTTCAAGTCATTTTTTTCAACCATTGATGAGATAAATGAACGTGAATAATGATTTGTTTATGCAAAATCACAAATCATTAAAACTTAAAATCTTCACAACTCTTCAACAAAGGCCCAACAGGACAAACCCTTTTAGATTTTCCATCAGGACACTATCTCCTACATATGGGCAAAGTTTGGATGAAATCGGCGTTGGACACTTTGAAGGATTCCCTCGTAAAACTATTTTCAAAACAACTTACCGAAGCTTAACACTGGTCGTAGCGTCCTCTTCCAAACAAGAACACTTGCTTGTATCCGGTAAATCTAATGGTTTGGGGTGACAAAAATGAACAGACTTTTTTTGAAAAAACTGTCTAATAGAATTCATACCAATATATTTACAAAAACTACAAGTCTTGACCATATCACAAACATTTTGGCATGTTCTACTAACATGGTGATAAAAATCATAGAGTCTCAGCTTCATCGAGCATTAAGTCAAGATTGATGCCAAATTGATGAAAACTTAAGAAGAAATGTTGAACCTAATCACTGTTATAGATGAAGTGAACACTCTAAAAATATGAATGAAGAAACTCAATAAATATGTAATGTTTTATTTGAGATTGAAAAAAACTTTTCATGCTTGTTTGTGATTCGTTTCTGGCTATTGAACTAAATACGAATCACATAATGGATCTTTTGATCAGTAGCTGCTTCTTCAAGATGATTTTAAGTCGAACAATAATGATTTAGAGGAGTGTTTCTTGTTGTAGGAAAATGGAATCCTTGCGCAATCACTATTGCAGGCGGAAATGGTTTGGGTAGAAATACAAATCAGTTCGCTCGTCCTTGGAATATCTTTCTGGATAATAATAATAGTAACTTATATGTGGCAGATCAGGATAATCATCCTGTTCAAAAGTGAGAAGTAGGTGCTAAAAGTGGTGTCACTGTTGCGAGTACAAATGGTTTAGGTAGAAATGCAAATGCGTTGTGTAGTCCAACAAATGTATATGTAGATAGTCATGAAGATATTTACATTGCTGACTGTTATAATCATCGTATTCAGAAATGGATAAAAGGTGCAAGTGATGGTATAACCGTAGCAGGAGGATATCGATTCTGGATTATCGAAATCATCGTATCCAAAAGTGGACTAAAAATGAAAGGAATGGTAGAACTATAGTTGATGGTCATGGTAGCGGAAATGGTGCACAAGAGCTAAATTGTCCGACTTCCATAATTTTAGATACAAATTACAACCTGTATGTTTCTGATTCTCGCAAACATCGTACAGAAATTTGATGTTTGAACATAAGCAGTCAAAATTGTTTTTGACTTTGAATCGTCTGACATAGGTCGAAGGCACTAAAAGTTTTTTTGATCATCCGACTCTATCTACGGACTAGAGAAACGCCATTCAGACGGCAGCAAGTAGGTTTTATGATCCTTTTTTCGGATTGTCTGAATTATGAAAAAGGTAAAATAAGGACGTCTTTCGTGGTGTGCTTTTTGTTTGAAGACAGGATCACAAGTGCTTTTAAACCAAATTATTCGATATGTCCAGGACAACCCAAGCATTTCAAATAGATCACCTGAAGCTATTTGGAGTGAGTAGGATATTTGTATATGTGGGATTACCCGTTTATAAATGCGTATCACCAGGATCGTCCAAGACATATATTTTTCTGGATTATTTGGATAATCCTTTGTTTTTACATCATCTCGAATCAGCTTTTTTTCGGTTGATAGATGATCCACATTTGAGGAACATTTTTCCGTTGTTTTTAATTTCATATAAAAAAAATCAGAGTTCAACGCGGAATTCAAATCTAAAGACCGCGAGTGTGTAGCAGAAATCAAAAAAAAGTTATAAAGGTTTTTCTGAAAACGAAAATTTTTGCGTTTTTTTGTCTGTTCGAGTATTCTTCATTTTTCTGCAAGAAAACTCTAAAAAATTTTTGAAGGTGATATTCGTGATCAGCTCAACGCGGCGAATCAGAATACTTGTAAAAGAACGAAAAGTAAAACCTGCTGAAATTTTACTTCACGTGCATCTTACAAAATTCAACTGATCTTATTAAACTTTCGTTTCTCGAACTAGTTTTAGTCTTCCACGATTCATCATTACCTAGCACTTTGCTCAAAGTATCTAACACTTGCTTTCGATTAACGGAGGTAAATAAATCGCTAACATCTAAACTCGCTAGTTTACCACTTTCTGTAACTTTAGGTTTGTATACTCTCGTCCATGGATATCACCATATGAAATAACAGCGATAGAAATGAAAATATTGCACCAAGTAAATCAATAAACAGAAATATATATGAAATTCCAATAACTTTAAAATGATTTTTGTAAATTTCATAGTATTGCAGTACCATTCCTCCGTTGAGACAAATAGCGGTGAGAATACCCATTAATGTCACAGGCCATTTAATGTGTTTTGTGTTCAAACAATAACGAAGTAAATAGATTCCACCGACTTCAATTGAACCACATAAACTTTTTAAAAAAATGTGTGAAATCCGTAAAATCATGATGAGCAAAAAGCAGAGTTTTTATTCTGAGGAAAATGTCGGTGAAACTGACTTTTTTATACTTTCCGAAACTCATATATTCGAAAATCTTGATTTTAACTTTAAAAAATTAAAATAAAACTTGGAGAAATTAAGTTTTTTGCCAGTAGTAGTGTGGTCAGTTTCCCGGTGCACATCAGTGTCATTGTTGTCAGTGGATCAGTATACATTGACACTGATCCATACCTAGCCAGGTTTCATACTCATTTACCTTAATGTTCCAATCACAATCACCACTGATTTTATTACACTCCACGTTTTTCTGTAATGATGTGTTTGTACATAACAAATAAATGCAAATGTCATAAATAATTGTGGTTGTATTTGTAAACCAATATTTAATCTGTTAACAATATTATAAATTCCAAGTGGTATCGCAGCTACAGTCCACAACAACATCAACAGTGAAGACAGGCCTTTAGTTGATTGACGTCGATAATTTTTATAGATTTGTGGAATGAGCTGAATACACCAGAAGATTGTACCGAGAATGGCAAACGTGGTGGCCAAAGAATAATTTTGATGTATCATCAAAAATGCGCATAAAAAACTTTTAATGAAGCCTATAGACTTCTATACTCAAAAAAAACCCAAGATAGAGGGTATTTATATTTGTGACCATACGAAACGCATTTCCGTTTTGCAAGTCAGACCATCAAGAACGCTCTCAGCTTTATGAAATATAGAGGGTCTAAAGAATGCATTAAACAAAGAATGCATTAAAGCTATGAGAAGAGCGAAGAGAGATTTTTGGGAAAGAAAAGGTGCCGAGCTAGAAGAACAAGCAAAAAAGAACAATACCAGAGCAGTCTATCAAACAATAAAAGAATTATCAGATAACTTCACCGTACAAGATGACTGTGTAAAACATTTGGACGGCACACCGGTGAAAGATGATGGCGATTTAAAAGAAAGATGGAGACAACACTTTGAAGGTCTCCTTAATGTTGGAAAGGAGCTGGCAGAAGAAACATTATTGAAATTGGATGTACAACAACAGGAAAGTGACTTAGAAGAACCATATCCAACAGAAAGAGAAATAACTGATGCAATTAAAGCATTGAAAAACAACAAGGCGGCAGGGATAGATGGTATTCATGCAGAAATGATCAAAGCAGGTGGTACAACATTGGCAAAATATCTTTATCAAATGTTCGTTGAAATATGGAAAGCAGAAAAAGTTCCAGAAGATTGGGTGAAAGCAGTAGTGGTCCCATTATTCAAGAAGGGAGATAGAAGCATATGTGATAATTACAGAGGAATAAGCTTGTTAAGTGTGGTAGGTAAAG